TTATATTTAAAGACTAGGCGCATACCTCAACTACTTCAACAACAGATTCCAGACAGTTGATGGCGTTTTCAGGCTCTGCGACCAACTGAACCACTCGGTCTGTGGAGAGTGGGGCCAACATCTGATAAACTTTGATTACGCGCATTTTGTGTTTCTAAGAGTGTCATCCAAATTTCAAACATACCGATCGAAGCTCGCGAATGCGTTCACCACCTCTGCCGATAATTGACCCTGCCACGCTTTGATGGACGAGCATTCTGAGATCAATCATTCCCTCGTCTTCCTCTTCTTCTTCCAGTTCTTCACCATTTGGTCCCCGGCGACGACGGGGCGGTCTCTGGTATCCCATAATGCGCTTAGGATCGGAGAGCTTGGCATTCATAACGTCCTAGGACAGTTAAATCATCTAATTTATAAGGTACCTTTATTTTTGGGACGATTTCTCGAACGACATTGGCGATCGCTGAGAGTTCACCTTCAACCGTAAACACTCTGTAGAAAAATAGCAAAATAGTAGAACACGAAAATCGGACATTTATGCGGTGGCTTTGGTCTAGTACGTGTATGGGCTGCGTTATTTCAATCCGTATTTATGATGTATTCGTGCGAAACTTAAAGTTTCGCGTGAAAATCTTTTTCGAGACGTCGGTTAAGGCACCAGTATAAACTAGCCGGCTATGCATAACCGGCAAAGGAGACGGTAAGGACAGTCTCGAGTAAAGTGAAGACTTTAGACCGAACGCGCATGATTAATTTTAAGGCGTATTTGAGAGGTTAAGCAGCCACGAGCTACAGCCACCGCAAATACTACATTCAGAACGCAAAGTGTACACAAAAAGTGAAAAGAGAGATCCTCATCGAGTCCTACCGTTCAATGCCTCGGTTGTCGGGAATATTGAGCTTCACTGAATACTGTGTACAGTGAAAAGTAAGACGGGAGACAGACGATGGACGAAATGCGAGGAGTGTCCGTGGCGGTTAGGCCACCCAACAGTGAATCATGGACAAGAACCAAGCAAATTGCGTTAAGCAAGTAGGATGTCGTGGGGTTCAAGGCAGAATTTTTCATGGGTAGTCAAGGAATTTCGGAGTCGTGGCGTCGTGACACGTGGTGCATAAAAGGAATGGAAATAAAGGCTAAGTTAGCGGATATTTATCGGGCGTGTCAATCATGCAAACAACTAACTGAATTAGATCATCACCTGTGAGCGAATCTTCTTAATGTTCTCTCCGCCTTTGCCAATTATAAGACCGGCGGCACGCGCTGGTATCAAAAAACGGACGGTCACTTTGGAGGAATCATTCTTTTGTACCTTCGCAGGGGGCGTGCCAGCAGAATTATCACGACTATCTCTCTTCATCTTTGCACAATTGAACCAGAAGGGGGAAAACGAAAGAATAGTTCGTAACGCCGTTTAAACAAACATACACTTTCAAGGTAGTAAGTCGATTCAGAAAAAAAATAGTCAGGACGCCTAGTATTGTACTATGATTCCGATATAATCATTTGATCCCTACAATTTGATTTTCACATTAGCATGAGTGCTATGAAAGTATCTAGTGTTATTTACATTAACTGACACATTGACTCACGGGTTCCAGCAGTGAAGGATTAGCGACCTTATAAACATCCTTAAACTTGCATTTAAACCCGGGGCGGCAAGCAGAGTTATGGTAAGCCACTTGCCGTATTTTGAAACAGTTTATAACTTAAAAACGCTTGGGATATGTCTGGAAAAAGTCCGGAAGTACGAGTCTGTAAAGAAAAATATACATGCTTTCGCATAAAGGTTCGATGAAGCATCAAGGATTACGGCCTAAATGTATCTGGAGATATAAAGAACCTAGCATTTCATATTCAAACTTTCTTTATATTTGAGACCATTGTGTTCTGCTTGTCTTTCAAGCCCACGGTCTAAAGTGTGGGCTCTTGGCCCTACTTTTGTGTTGTTTAAATTTATCAATAACCAATGTTGCTAAACTCGAATACAACAC